TGACACTATTAGCTATGTGATCCTGACTCTGTATGCCTCAGTTTCCTCAACTATAAAAAGGGGATGATGATATAGTATTTACCTCCCAGGGTTGTGGAAGATTAGATGAGATAATATTTGTAAAGCACTTAACACAGTGCCTGGCACATAGCGGGCACTTGATAAATGTTTGTTCATTTGCAGGAGGGGATTTCCCTCTCCCAAGGTAGATTGGCACCTATAAACCTTACAAACGTTAAGTGCTATACAGATATGGGTTACTATTAGCAGAGGCAGCAGGGGTGATTGGTGCGGATCTTCTCCTCTGTTTAGAATTGCCTGACTGTGGCCTGAGAATTAAGGTGAGATGTTGAGTGACCAAGGCTGGCTGGGGAATTTCCTCCCCTAGGGGTTATCTCTGGGAGGCCCCTGTCTGACTGGGATGGAGCACATCCATTTGTTCACATTAGATTAATGGTGCTTACCAGTGTGGTACAGTACACGAGCAGACCTGGGTTTGAGTCCTGACTCAATCCCTAATTTGCTATAAGACCTTTGGCAAGTCACCTCTCCTTTTTCTGGCTCTCATTTTCCTCATCTTTAAAATGGGAATAATGAGAGCACCTACCTCCCAGGGTTATTGTGAGGATAAATATGAGATAAATTCATAAAGTATTCATCAAACCTTAAAGTGCTATATAAGTTAGAGTTATCCTTATTAGGTCTCATTCAAGTCTAGGGTCCTGTGTGATTTGTGGTCACTGGCTCACCCCATTAGCTCAGACTGATGAGGTGATACGTCATATGGAGCCAGGAGGAAGAGGATGACAAAGATGAAAATACAAGTATCAGAAAAGAACCCATTTACTTGACAATTTTAGGAACAGGAAGTGTCCAAATTGTCACATACATGTGTCACAATGTCTCACGATAATGATATCACATTTGTAAACCAATGACTCAGCAGCAGCTGCCCACAATCTGGCCACAAACCAATGAGTTACTGTGGCTTCTGACTCACGTGTTGGACAATCACAGACAAGGTGGTTTACCCAGGGAGGGAACAGATGAGATGACCTGGCAACGCCACACCTAGGCTCAGGCTCATAGAAAGTAAAGTTAGAAGGGACCTTAGAGGTCTTCTAAGGTTCTCTCATTTTACAGATGAGGAAACTGAGACCCACAGACCCAAAGTCACACAGCTAGTAACATAGCAGAGCTATATTCAAACCCTGGTCCTCTGATTCCAAATCCAGAACTCTTTTCCCTCTGCCTCAGCTGCCTTCCCATTCTGAAGACTCTAAGGTTGAGGACCTCACAAGCTCCCTGGTGATATGTGATTCCAGTAGAATGTGAGCTCCTTGAGGGAAGGGACTGGGTTTTTTTCTTTTCTTTATATTCTCAGCACCCAGCACAATGTCTTGCACATAGGAAGCATTCAATAAATGCTTGTTGGATTGGATTGGATTTAATTGGATTAACCAAGAGGATATCTTTGAGAACGAACAGCAAGTGATGGGGGCATTATTTTTGCCTTACAGAGGATCACAATCGATTCCACCCCTCTCAGTCCAGCACTTATGTCGAGAATGGGAACTCTTTCTCCATCCAATATGGGACCGGGAGCTTGTCCGGAATCCTTGGAACGGATCAAGTTTCCGTAAGACAATATTTGGAACACTGTTTTCTTCTCTCTCGAAGATGTTTCCTTTCTCAGTCCAAAGCCTTGACAGTGACTATGTTCTTTCCATTCCTGGTCCTATATGTGAATTCTTATTTAATGTCTTCTCTTATAGCTGGTAAGCCATCCCCAGAGCTGAATGATGGAGAGGGAGAAGAGAGAAAAGAAATGCCCACATAACAATGACTATTACAGCATCTTAATTTTACCTGGTTCATATTCCTTCAAGCAGTTCAGACTATTTTTTAACAACATCTCAACAATCCCTAAGCCTTCATTTAAAGTGGGTGGAGGGGTGGCAAAGATCATTATGCAAATTTAACATAAGAAAAACAGAGAAGGGAAGGAAATTGCCTCAGGACATTCAGCAAAACAGATGTCAACTGCACCTAGGAATTTTTATTTCACACAATCTCCTTCTTGGGGATTTTTTTTTTCATGCTAGGTACAAGGGATTACAGTAGCCAACCAGCAGTTTGGAGAGAGTGTCAGCGAGCCAGGAAGCACTTTTGTGAATGCAGAGTTTGATGGGATCCTGGGGCTGGCATATCCCTCTTTGGCTGTGGGAGGGGTCACTCCAGTGTTCGACAGTATGATGGCCCAAAACCTGGTGGATATGCCTATGTTTTCCGTCTACATGACCAGGTAATGATTGCAGCTCATATTTCTATATCAATTCATGGTTTCCAAAGTACACGACATCTAGGGGCTGTCTATTTGATTCCCAAACACTCCTGTGAAGCAGATAACGCAGTAATTATTATACCTATTTTACAGACGCAGAAACTCAGGCTCAGAGGTGATACAATTTGCCCAAGGTCACAAGGTGTAATGGGTGTCAGAAGAGGGCCTTGAACCTAGGTCCTCTGACTCCAAATTCCATACTCTTTTCACCATACTGCTCCATTTCCCTTATCAATGAACTGGCCCCATTACTGTCAAAGACATTAGGAATCCTTGCATTGAACAGGTCCTCTAAGGATGATATAGGCTATTTCCCTGTCTCCAAACATATCTTCACTGAGGTTATCCAAGATGGCAGCACACCCTTAACAAATGGTTTTTGTTGAATGAATAGATGAATGAATGAAGTGTCCTCCTATTTTCTGAGTTCAACAAGAGATTCCATAACCTTCCTCACTCAGCCCTTCCCAGTCAGGAAGTTCTTTCTTAGAGCTGACCAGGCTCTATCCTGTTTCAGAGTAAACGCATTCTCTTTTGTTGTTCCCCTGGTGGTGATGAAGAATGTGTCCATATGAATGATAAACTTACTGTGCCCTGTATGCATTGGCTCAGGCTTTGCTGGGCTTCCAATATGGTCTTGATCCAGGTCTGCTCTGGGCAAAATTAGGAAGCTAAAGAACTCCTAAGTCTCCTCAAGATTCTGCCCAAGAGTCATTTCCCACAAAAGGCCTTTCCTGATGCACCACCCACCTATTTGTTAGTCACCTCCCCACTTCCCAGAAAATTGTTTTTATTTTATATTTTATATATTTCCTGAGCTGTCTACATCTTGTTTCCCCCCAGTAGAATATGAGCTCTTTGAAAACAAGACAGATTTCATTTTTTGTTTTGACATCTCTAGTGGTTAGAGCTCTGGGCTTTGAGTCAGGAATACCTTTTTTAAAATCTAACCTCAACTACTTACTACCTATGTGACCCTGCACAAGTCATTTAACCTCTGCCTTGATTTCCTCAACTGCAAAATGGGGATTATAATAGCACCTGCCTCACAGGATTGTCATGAAGATAAGATGAGGTGATGTTTGTAAAGTGTTTACAACAGTACCTGGTACATAGCCGGCAATAAGTAAATGTTTATTTCCTTCCTTCCAGTGTTTACCACAGTGCCTGATACATAGTAGGCAATCAATAAATGTTTCCTTCCATCCAGTGCCTACCACTATGCTTGACACATAGTGGGTATTTGGTAAATGCTTGCTCAATAGAATGGAATAGCTGCCTCATGAAGCAGTGAGTTCTACATCATTGGAGATAATTAGCAGAGTTTATTTGTGGGAGTATTTTAGAAGGGAGGAGGATTGGACTAGAAAATCTCAAAGATGCTTTGGGCACAGGATTCTGTGATTCTATGTAGGTATTCAGCAGCTAGGTGGCACAGTGGATAGAGCACTGGGCTTGGAATCAGAAGACTCATCTTCATGAGTTCAAATTTGGCCTCAGACACTTACTAGCTGTGTGACCCTGGGCAAGTCACTTAACCCCATTTGCCTCAGTTTCCTCATCTGTAATGAACTGGAGAAGGAAATGGCAAACCACTCTAGTATCTTTGCCAAGAAAACTCCAAAATGGGGTCATAGAGTGTCAAATACAACTGAACAACAACAACAATAACATGTAGATGTGCCTTCTGTCCATTGGGTAGGCAGGTGCCTGGTGTCAAAACCCGTGCATATTCTTCCTAGACCATGAATCTCCACCTGCTCCTGTGACCCCTGGAATTCACATCCGTGTTTTCATCCATAAATTTACTGTGTCACATATAGATCCTGTTCAACCAGGATGTTTTTAACATCCTATTCCTAAGGCCTAGGAGGTTAACTGACTCATAGAGTGTAGCTCAGATAGTCACTCACCAGAGCTCAGAGTCTCAGGGTTCAGGAGGTGACTCATAGGTCATGGAGCCTGACCCACATATGAGGGATTCACTCCACAGCAGTCCAATAGGTGGTCAACCAGCCTCTGCCCCTATTGAGGGGTACCTTCCTACCTCTGAGGCAGAACATTCCACTTTGTGGGGCAACTCTAACTGTTAGCAATTTTTCCTTTATTTTATTTATTTATTTATTTATTTATTGCCTCAGCTTGCCTCTTTGCAACTTCAATCTGTGTAGAACTTGTCTAATCCCTCTTTTCACGTGACAGCCCTTCATGTCTTTGAAGAGGGTACAGCCTCCCCCCAAGGCTTCCTCTTCTATAGGCTAAACATGCTTAATTCCTTCAACTGGTGCTTCTACTACACGGCCTCCTATCTCACCATCCTCATTACCTTCCTCAGGATGCCCTCCAGCTTGTCTGTAAAGGTCCTCTCTAAGATGGGGCACCCAGAACTTAGAACAATACTCCATGTGTGATTTAGCCAGAGCAAAGTGTGACCATGGCTTTCCAGAAATGGTTAAAAGAAGCAGCTTGGAGTACAGAAGATCTGAGTTCAAATCTGACCTTAGAAATACTTCCTAGCTGTGTGATCCTAGGCAAGTCATTTAACCTCAGGCTGCCTCAGTTTCCTTATCTATAAAACGGGGATAATAATAGCACCCAGCTCCTAGAGTTGTCGTGAGGATAAAATGAGTTAATATTTGTGAAGTGCTTTGTAATACATAAATGCTAGCTATATTATTTTGTTTTGTTTTTTGACTAGGCAATGGGGTTAAGTGACTTGCCCAGGATCACACAGCCAGTAAGTGTAATGTGTCTGACACTGGATTTGAACTCAGGTCCTCCTGACTCCAGGGCTGGTGCTCTATCCACTGCGCCACCTAGCTGTCCCCATGCTAGCTGTATTATTACAGCCTATATACCATGTCTCATGAAATGGGGTCTGAGGTCTCATTATTGCAGTTTGGTGCCAGAGACTTGGTACATAAAGCAAAAGATCAGAGAAGAATCCAAGATTAAAATATGGTGGAGTAGAAAGAAACCCTAGGATCTGGACCTAGAGAACCTGGATTTGAGTCTCGGCTCTGATGCTGAATAGTCATCAGATGTGAAAGAAGTCCTTTGTGATGCCCTCGCTAAAACCTTGGAACAATGCCCTGTAAGCGGGCCTTGAGAGGATGAGCCTAGCTAGGGAGGGGAGGAAGTGACTTTGTTGGTGGTGGTGGTGAGTTTTTTGGAAATTAGCAATGGCACTATGAAAAGACTTCTAGATGTTGAGTCAGAGGAGATGGATTCAGATCCCACCTCTGCCACTTGGGCTCTGTGTGACCCCAGCCAAATCAGTTAACCTCTCTAAACTGCAGTTACCCCATCTCCAAAATCAAGGCAATATGGGCAGCTAGATGGTGCAATAGGTACAGCACCAGACCTAGAGATAGGAAGACCTGAGTTCAAATTCGACCTTAGATATTAGCTGTGTGACCCTGGGCAAGTCATTTGACCCCAACTGCCTCTTTAAAAAAATGGGAAAAAAAAAAAAGAAAGGTAAAGGAGGTCAACTTTTAAGTTTCTTCCCGCTCTAAATCGACAATCCTAAATCATTTCACCTAACCATGCCATAGTTCCTTCACTTGTACACTAGGAATAGAACTTCTTAGAGTCATTGGAAAGATCAAATAAGGTGAGATATTCCACTTGGGGCATCTATGATACAGGCAGAAACATGGACTGGTTTTTGGAGGATTCTTGAGGCCTCCCCCTCATTGGTTTCCCGACTTTCTCTCCCTATAGGAATCCAGATAGCACCACTGGAAGTGAACTGATTTTTGGAGGTTATGATCACACTCATTTTGCCGGAAGCCTGAACTGGGTCCCAGTCACCAAACAGGGCTACTGGCAGATAACACTGGACAAGTGAGTGTTTTCCATGGGGTGGCACTTGGGCCACAGCAACGAACATAGGAGAGGTGCAGATTAAACATATATTTTTAAAAAGATTTATAGAAGGCAATGTAGTAGAGTGGAAAGTGTGCTGACCATGGAGTCCAGGATCTGAGTTCAAATCCCAATTATGCCTCTAAAATTCACTTTCCTTGTCTGTAAAATAAAGGGGTTGGACTAGATGACATCTTAGGTCCCTTCCAATCCTGGATCTGGGTTTCAGTGCTGTGTTTGAATGCTAGTTATTGTTGTTTTCATGAACACATTGTATTTTGACACAATAGATGCATGTCTAAAAATTGTTATGCAAAAATCAGTAGCAAATCAGGAACACATCACATACCACTTCTGAATTCACTAGTTTGAGTATTCTCTTCACCTATGCAGACTGCATTCCTTCCAGATAGATCATCTTTGGGAGTCACTGTAGGGAGAAAAAAAAAAGCCATCACCTTCCAACCAACCTGGTAATGAGCCTCTCTATTCTGAGCTACACTGATCCTTGGATGGCAGATGCCAAGCCCATCATTGGACCAGTACTTAGAGCCTTTTCAGTCCTTGGCTGATCCTGCCACCATTTCCATTCTACTTGTATCATCTTCCAGAACCTAAGGGGAACTCCACAACATAATGAGGCATCAAGGGAGAACTTTGGAGGAAGTAATAAGTAAAATTTTGCATAGAATCTTTAACATTTAGCAAGATTTAATAAACAACAAACTAGTAAAGAAAGTTATTTTTTCAGTGTCTCCTTTAAGATGTGTCAGAAGGTCTACTACTTCTGGATTTTCCTTCCTTCCTTTCTCTCTCCCTCCCTTTCTTTTTTTCCTTTCTTCCTCCTTTCCTCTCTTTCTTCCTTTCTTCCCTCCCTTCTTTCTTCTCTCCTTCCTTTCTTTCTTTTTGTTTCTTCCTTCCTTCTTTCCCCCCTCCCTGCTTTCCTTTTTTCTTTTCTTTTCTTCTTTCTTTCTTTCTTCCTTCCCTTCTCTTTTCTTTCTTCTTCTTCTTCTTCTTCTTCTTCTTCTTCTTCTTCTTCTTCTTCTTCTCTCTCTCTCTCTCTCTCTCTCCTTCCTTCCTTCTTTCTTTCTTTCTTTCTTTCTTTCTTTCTTTCTTTCTTTCTTTC